GTCTTATTATCAACTTGATATGTTTCAAGAATATGAATCGACTTTGTCTTCCTAATGCTTGAATTTTGACATTCTGGACAACCTCTAATCTAATGGCCTACTTCTTGATAATAGAAATAGAATCTTTTTTGTACCAATATTTATCGTCTTTGTGGCGTCAAAAATCCTTGTAGAACATCAATCTTCATTGCCATTGGTTTTTATGCTATAATATTAGATAGCAGTATAAGACTTTGTACTATAGGTCTTGCTCCATGATTTTTGAAATCTATAGCATCAACCTTCTTTGTAATCTGAATTGTCTCTTTGAATGTTTATGGATCCTTTAGCTCCATCTTTCATTGAATCTCAAGTTTCAAATCTCGTAGAAATTGATCCATCATCTCCACCTTTAAAATATTGTTAATTTAGAAATATAGGGACTTGAATTAAGAAACATAATCTTATACCAACCTAGATTGTATAAGATTTATTAATTGATTGTGTGTTATCTTCTCTACATTGATGGGCCAAAAATGATTCCTAAACTCAGTCTTTAATTCCTCCCAATCAAAAAATCCACCTTGAGCTCCTATCAAGGACACAAACTAGAAGAAGATACATAAACTCATAAAATCTGTATCAGAAGGAAAGTGACAAAATAGAAGAAAGTATGTTTATTCAAAGAAGAACTGGAATGGCTATTGCTAAAAACAAGAAAACATAAGACTCTTGAAACTAGACTAAAAGCAAGAAAGAAATTGACAAGAATAAAGAAGGCCTCTCTCTTGCCTCTATATATACTACTTAATTAAGAATTATGTGGTGACATGCTATAGGACCTCTAATACATGTCCAACTTACAAGATACATGTCTAATTTACAAGGCAAGTTTTTTAGGTGTATGCCATATGTCCAACTTGTACTACAAGTGATCAACATGTTGACACATGGCCTCCTAGTTGGCGAAGTTTTCAACCTATCAATTACCTATAGACATGTATAAAGGCAAAGCAATATCTATGAAGTTTCTAAGAAGTTTTCTATAAGATATTATTATATTTATCTACTTTGACTTACTTCTACCTATTCTAATTATCTAGATAATTATGAAGGTAAATATATATATCCATGACAGCTCCATAGCTTTGAATTCAATGTTGCCACCAAATGGCTACCGCATCTTTCAAATAGTTAGCTACATATATAATTTCTTCAGTAGTATTTGTTCTAGATAGTTAAAAGTATTGTTGCTTGTTGAATAGCCATTGACATACATCTTCTTCTCTTGAAGTCCTAGAGTATTTATTAGGCTTACTCAATTTCAACATAGTAGAAGTCAACTCCTTTATCGTTGAGGCTTCTATTTGCCCTTACTATGTAGCTATCTAGCCTTAAAGGTGTTGTAATTGAGCCTCTATTTGGGATTGTCCTACCATATCTCCCATACTATAATTTTTTTGCTTGATTCTACTATTACAATGTCTCTTCACCTCTTAGTTGATTTTTTAAGAGTAGCTTGTGGTAGCTTCAATACAATACCTAATATGACTACAACAAGTGATCCTGCACTAGATGATGACTTTTGACACACTATCAAACTTTTATAGTTCTAACTATCTATCCCTATACATTTATCTTATCTATACCTTGTTATATTGATGCTTTTGACTTTGCAATTAGAGCAGTCCTCCTACAAGACTTTGATAGGGGCCTTCAACCTATGGCATATGAATCATGCAATCTCAAAAGAGCAAAGTGCAATTACTCTGTATATGATTGAGAGAAATTAGTGATTGTATAAACCATAAAAGTATGGTAATACTATATGATGGATCAGGTAGTGGTTGTTCAAATTGACTATCAATCCTTGCTATATGATTTCCATTTAAAAAATATGCAATCATGACATCAATATTGAGAAGAATAATTGCAATTTTTTGATATGCAACCTGAGTACAAGTAAGGGCAATAACATACTGTATCAGACAATTTATTGCTAAGACCACACTTAAACATTAAATTGGGAGATAAGACAGAAGTTGCTACCATTACTAGTATCATTTCAAATCCAACTAAAGAGGCAGAATGGAAGGAAGCTACATATCAAGATGCTTATTTTAAGATGATTAGCAATCAGCTAAAGGTGGACAATATATAGTATGAAGATTATAGTCTTAATAATGGCTTATTATATTTTAAGAAGCAAATTTATATATTTGAGAATGTTATACTTTAAATCTACATATTTCAAGAGAGACATGACATTCTTATATTTTGACATCTAAAACAAGAGAGACTATAGAATGGGTCTCAAGGACATGATTTTGGATAAGTTTGGATCATAATGTTTGAACCTTTGCACACTACTACAATTCATGTTAATGTAATAAAACACACAATGCAACGTCTCTTCGTCTATTGCAACCAATTCTACTATCTACGGCACATTGGAAGCAAGTGACTATGGATCTCATTACATGTTTGCCATAGACGCCTCATAATCATACCACGATTGTTATTTTTGTAGATTGATTCTTAAAACAACTTCACTTAGCTTCAGTGTGCTCAAATATTCATGTCTCAGCGCTTGCACAAGTCTTCTTTGATATCGTATCATGATTTTAAATCGTGATCTATGCTTCATGAGAAGTTTTTGGCAAGCCTTATTTAAGCTATTAGGCACATGACTTGCCATTTCTACAATCTTTTAGACTAAAACACATGGACAAATAGAGCATACAAATCAGATCTTGAAAGATATGTTGTGGATATTTGTAGTGGTTCATCATAATGATTGGAATGACAAGGGGTACAACACTTCATCCTTATCCTATAGAATTGACAGATGCAGTAAGCAAATAACAAGTAGCAATACAAAACCTTTGAAGAGGGTGATGAAGTGTTATTTTTTAATGCCAACTTGCCACTTGCTACATCAATCCAAATCCAAAAACTAGCATCTCAATGACTTCGACCTTTTTACATTTTTGCAATGATTTTTGATATTACATATCATTTTTGTATTGTAATTATTTATAGTATATAAAAATTAGTTAGAATATATAATATGTTTATAAGTCTTGGTATGTTAGAATGGTTAATAGATTAATTTAAAGAGAGTGGATATAAAAAACTTTATTTTGAATTTTATCTATTTTGATTATCACATTAAAAATATTATAGGACCTAAATGTTTAGTGTGAAGCCTTGAGAAGAGATTAGAGCCTAAAGATGAAAATCCTAATTAATAGGAGGCTTTTTGGGAGGGATGAATGTAAGGCATGGTCGAATGAAGGCAAGAAATGAGGATCTTCATCCCTATTGGTCGAAGGCCATGCCCAATGGACTTCAAGGAGGCTTTCCAAGGCCTTATTAGAGATAGAAGTTTTTCTTTTGAGGTCATTCTAGCTTTGGAGGCTAGTTTAGGTTTTTGGGTACAAATTGGATATAAATTTTGTATGATTTGGAGTTTTATGAAGGAATTATTAGTACTCAAAGTTAAGGTGTCAATTTCTTACCTACTATCACTCTTTGGGATATAACATATGCTTTCAAAGAACAACAAAGGATCGGCAATTGAGGTTGAAGAAAGCACTTTTTCAGCTATATTTTTTATATATTTTTTGATGAATTTGGAATTTGAATGAAGAAGTTATAGAATATTGAAGTCAGTGCATCCAAACCAAAAGCAATAAGTAAGTGTTTTTGTACATAGTAATGTTTGGAGCCATATCTTGAGTTTCTAGATGAATTTTTGGCTCAAATCTTTTGGAGAAGATAGAATATTGTGTTAAAAAGCTGTACATACAAATTTTCTAAAGTACATCAGTACGTCATATTAAATTTAAGTATGTTTGAATAGTCCAATTAAGAGATACGAATTATTGAAGTTTGGGAATAATATCCTACAAGGATATATAAGGACTTAGAGTTTTTATCATATTTTAGATATTTTTGGAAACTTAAGACTTACATATTTGATTTAATTGCTCCTAAAAGTGATAATTATATATATATATATATATAAACTTGGTATTTCTTATCTAAAAACTTGATAGAGCAATTAGTGACAACTAAGAGCCCAATGCTTTCTTGAAGCAAATTCTCTCTACCTTGATACTGCCTCAAGCTTCTGCCACATATTTGCCTCCATCTAGTCTTCCATATTTTGCCATTAAAGAAATTTTATATAGAGCCAAAGTGCTTTGTGGATTGACACCAACTACCACCACCACCACCAATTGAAGTTGATAATTAACAAGAATATGAAGTAGATAACATTTTGGAACATATATAGAGGCAAGAATGTAATTTGTTACTCAATTGATAATGTTTTTTTACATCCTAATAGCTTACAACTTTTACATTCTCTTTCTAATTCTTTGATTATGTCCAAACCTAACATCCTCCGTATCTTGATTTTCCTATTTATTGTCTTAAGCACCTTATTTGTCTAAGATAAAAAAATTAAAGAATGTAATAATAGAAATGGCTATTATCAAATATTAAGAAACTAGATTAGAAATAAGAAAAGAAGTTGTTAAGAATGAGTAAAGTCTCATTCTCGCCTCTATATATATTGAGTTTGAAACATGTTCCATAAATCTGAACTTAAAATTTCAAATAAGTTTGCATTTGTATGGACTATCTAATCATGTGAATTAAGAATCTCTAAAACATATAAACAATAAGTTGATTTTTTATATTATTTTGTTTTTTTAAATTGTTATTATAACATAAAAGAAAAAAATAATGAAGTAAAAAAAAAAAAAAAATACTTTGATTCCCATTATGATTGCATAACAAGAAAACAAAATAAACTAAATCTATGATAGAAATGTACATTTAACCACCTAAACATTGTAAGTTTTGGTTCTAAAAGATATACGCATCTTCAGAAAACGATGGTGGATGAGATCCATTCGTTTACAATAATGAGAATGTGTTTCCACGAGTCAATTCAGACAACATTCCCATCTTCGTAGATAAATGAATTCCATCCAAATTGTAGCAGAGAGTCAAGGAACTCGGCGAGCTTGACTCGGATCGACGTCGTCACAAGCCACATGCCGTGGATTCATGTAGAATTGTGTCCATACAATGGGAATAGCCTCGGGAAGAGGGAACTGCATCTTCGAAATCGGTGATCTAAAAAAGGAAATGGTGGGGAAGAAAGAGGAGAAAAGCAGGACTTTGTCGCCCACCCTGCGGATTCACTACAGTGTGCTTGTTGGGTGCGACAGCCACCTGGAAGCTCTAGTTCACACTACTCCAGCTGTTAATATTTCCAAGAGAATGAGAGTAGAGAATTCTACACTGTACTGCACTTTTCCACACATTGAACCAGCCACTGGGACTCTCCGTTCAGGGCAGAGTCAAGCATCGGAACCCATCAACGGTCTGTTTATCAACACCTGTTAAGATCGAGTAAAAACTTTCCATCATCTTGATGGGTTGCATTTGTCAGTGCTGAAACCTCGATTTTAGCTTGGCAGCAAAAACGGTCAACTTGCGAAGTTCAATGTATTTGCATGAATTGTTATGTTCAATATCCATGTGGGCTTTTTGTACCTGAAACAAACAATTGAGTTGGGTTGCAGCTTCCGGAGACGAGATCCCAGAACTAGTCAAAATTTCTTGTTGCCGTAATTTTACAGTTTCGTCATTAGCATGAACTAATCTGGCATGTGTCGTGAAGTTGATGCTGCTCCAACCAGCTCTGCATTTGACTATGTTTTTAAATGTTTCTGCTTGAGCAAATGATCTCAGAAGACTACTGTATTTGATGATTCTGTCATCAAATACGGACGAAGAGCTTCTGTCTGAGCGAAAACAAATTTTTCTCATCGTTGTTAGTGAATTTAGAGCCCCAATGCGATTGTTTGCTCTTCATTCCATTCCTAATTCTTTCTCAGGAAATGCTTTTCTATCATACAGTATCTTAAAATAGAATTGATCTTCTAGGCCCTCCCTGCACGCCGGACCTTTAGGCCAACCAGGAAGGGGAACCTGGATACGACCAATTTGACAGTTTTCTATGCTGAGCTTGCAGAACACCACGTTGCAGCAGTCCATATTGATATCTGTTTGTTGCAGCAATCCCACCTGCTAATAACAGGTTGTCTTTGAATTATCTGTACTTTAAACACCACTTTTCTGTCAGAGGGATGTTAGCAGATCCAATTGCTAGTGCGGTGTTGTCCGCGTTATCACTTGAAATTGGGAACCTGAATTTCATGGACCACATACAAGACCTAAGAAACCATTCTGCATTGATATTGACACAATTGACAGGATGACATGCTCACTTACTATTTTATATGATAATCTGTTTCGTCACTAGAAATTGAGCGGCGGTATCGGCGTAGCGTAAAAAAATGAGCGTTCTATTAAATGTCTTGCGAAGAAAGGGGACTGAATCAGCAGGAACATCTCATCGGGGCGCCAAGTTCGAGGCCACGTAGCAATCAACGCGCTTCATGGGCGATTGCGCAATGCGTAGCTCATTCAACCTGTGTTTCTCTTCCACGATTTTTACCTGCCCAACACCAAACCATGATTGACGAGCCACACCAAGAGAAACGTATTAGTTCGTTTCCAAGCTCGAGCAGTTTCGACTCAATTGTTGCCAGGGCTGTGGTAATCAGGGCTAAGAGCGACACATTCAAATGAGGTGACCGAAGAAGCAGAAATCTGAGAAATAAATGACACTATTGTTTGTGTGCATGCAGCAGGATCAAACTACATATAATCCTAAGGCAGCTAACATCAGTCTGAAAATGAAAGGTGATAGGGGTGACCACTTTTGTATCAGACTTTTACCTTAAGTCTAGAATCTTCAAGTTCTTTTTGAGAGGACTCGAGCCGACTTTTTAAACGACTAAGAACTTCTAGGGCCATAACAGGTTCTCTGCCAGTACTGGAATCCGCTATGCCTGCAACCTGTTCAGCCGAATGTTATGAAGAGTGGTGGATTAAACTTCAAAAGTTCAAATATGGGTCAAGCTAATAAACAATGTTCAGCAATTTGTAGGAGACACAAACTGAATGGCAAACTGAAGAATAGACAATGATGCATATACGTAGAACACCAAGTTCCTCATGCTGAATCTACAATTTGACCTCAACATTAAGACAATGTTATTCATACCAAAAGTGTGTGTGTGTGTGTATATACATACATACATACATACACATATACACCTATAGAAAACATGAAGAAAAGATTCGCAAAGCTTACTTCCAGAATATGAGCGCACACGTCCTCTAGCTTTTGAGATACGTTGGACTTCTGCTCCTCTAGTTCCTGCAAAATCATAGAAAGGGTCGGAACAACAGTAAAACAATTCTTTCAAATACATTCTCTAAACACAGGCTAGGACATCTTAAAAATGGCAAACTATCACAAACGATAGCACCTTGTCAACGTAAACTAAACCAATCAAATATGTCATTATTTGGTTGCTAAAAGATACCTGCACTTCGGTGCGGAGACGCTGCTCCTCATCAAAGTTAATCAGAGGTGTTTTGCCTTCTGAAAGGCGATACTTAGTAAGCTCCTCGCTAACTCGGGCATGAAGAACTTCAGCTCGTCTGAGCTTCCCACTGAGTTCATCATTTTGAATCCTCAGCAAGTTATTCTCATCCTGCAAAACAGAGAACAATGTTGCATCAACAACTAAGCAAAGCGTGGATTACAACATTGAGGTTGAAGCTGTCACATAAGCCGTTCTGAGTGATCGGGCACCTTGATCTTGACATGATGCTTAATACGTTGCTGGAGATTCTGCTGTCCAGACAGTTTCTCTACTTCTTGCTTCAGGCCGCCAGCTATCTTTTGTTGAGTTCTAAGTTCAACCTGTAAACGAAGAAAGACATAGGTTATTGGAGTAGAAACTTAAGTGCAGTACAGCAAAGGAGACAGGGTCAACATCCTAAGACAGGATGTGTCTCTACATTGACATGAATGGCACACAGAAATAAATAATTAGAGCTATTCTTGCTCTATTCGTGAAGTAGTGTCAACTTACGCATAGCAGATGCAAGTACTAGTATACCTTGAGATTTTCATTCTCAGCGCAAAGTACTCGCTCACGCTCCCGAAGTCTATTTACAGCATCTTGGGCAGCCACTAGTTCGGACTGCTTCCGGCTGATCTCTTCTAACCAACTGCAATTGGCATAAAACCCAAATTTGTAAGACCCATATTTTGATAACACATGGAAAAACAATAAATGTGCAACAAAATCTAAATTTAGATTTACTTGATTGGCTTCAAAGAGACCTAATGCCAATGCAAAAATGGTGCGAACATGAAGAAAAGAGATAAACCTCTCTCGTTCTTCAATAACTTCGTTAAGCTTCTCATTCAGTTGCTCTGCTTCTTTATCCTAGAGAGGAAGAAAGATAAAGAAAAGAAAAAATTGTTACTCTTACAAAATCATGCGTGTTTCTTGAGATCGGCAATGGTATTGCGAGTATCAGACACTCAACTCAAGCCAACTGCTTATGATGTATTGAGAGTAATCGCATATGACAATTGCATATGACCAATTGCATATAATCATAAGCAGAACAGTACGAAAATTCATTTGCATATAATCATTTGGTCGCAAAGTGTACAGGCTAGAACCTCTTTTTCCAAAGATGCTTCCTGAATATGCAATGCGTTTTGCTCCTGCTGTTCGCCGAGAACTCTCTGCAAAGCAGTTTAAAACAGAGTGCAGTTGAACATATGTATTAATGCTACATTGGCACTTTAATGTTTCCAGGATTTTAAAGGGAAAATAGCAGGATCGGCCCAAAATGATATGCAGGATCTTTATGTATCGTACCACAACATTGGTCATGTCCGACTTTACTTCAAGCAAATTCCCGAACAATTCACGGGTCATCCTCTCAGCAGCTCCCAGCTTTTCATTCAGAATACAAACCTGTACACATAAATTCAGCACAGTTAGTAATTATGCATCGCTAATATGCTGAACCTTAGCAGTTCGAACTTGCATCCAACGTTGTGCTTTCAGTCACATCAATACCTCGTTTTGTTGATTGATGAGCTCAGTTTCTAACTCCTGGATGCGGTGCTCATATATTTGGCGTTCCACATTCAATTCAAAGTTCACTTGGTGGCCCATTCCAATGCAAGCGAATGTCGACCCTGTCCCTTTGAGTCTCGGACCTCTCAGGATTTTTGATTGAGAATTAGCTTGCTCTTCCGGCACGGTTTCAATTGTCTTAAGCTGCGTAGCAGAAAGAAGACACCAGACAGAAGATTGAATATGTTAGCCAGATAGTGTTCTTCTGCTAACATGTGCCTTCTGGGATTGTCAGGATGTAACGCACTCTATGTAATCATCAAAACCATTGAACGCATGAAAGGCGTGCTGTTACTTTTACCTTCACCTTTCCCTCGTATTCGGCCGCCTTCTTCTCAGCCTCAGCAAGAATGTATGTGATTTGTGCCTTGGAGTGTTTTAGCTGGGGTCAGAAGTAGGGATTACGAGGATTAGATAAATCGATTAAGGGTCCTAAGTAATTCCTCACAGTCTTCTGCACAATGTCAACTTCTATCAAAGCTTCAAAACAAAGATCTCGACAGAAAATACCTTTTCAGCCTTAATTTCTGAATCTTTCTGAAGGGCTTGCAACTTCTTCTGCGCCTGTTGCATCTCAGCGTCCTTCTCTTCAAGCTTCCTGCTTGCACCAGGAAAGCATACAATCATAAGCAGAATAGTATGGGAATCAAGTAACAGGACTAGCCGATCGTAACATGCAGACGAATTGGTAATGTCAACAATGGACAAGTTATTAACGAGGCCTAACCGTTCTGCTTCTTCTCGTGCAAACTGTGCTTCAAGAATTTCATCTGCAATTCGTGCATTGGCCTCCTCGAGAGCGGCTTGCCTGACCGACATGCTGTTATGCAGCCTTTGTAGCTCCATTTCCATGTCTTCCCTCATCAATCGTTGTTGCTCGCACTCCCTTGTTACAAGCCCCAGCTGCGTCATCATCCACGACCAGACAGACCCTTTAAAGCCCACCCACCTGGAGTTTACCATCATTCTGAAATCGAGACACAGTCGAAGTATGTTTGGGGCAACCGAAATATCAAGATAAATACCTGGGATTCAAGGGCGTAGACTGTGCTCTCCAACTCCATTACAGATTTGCCGAGAATTTCTGCTTCGATTTCTTTCTCTTCAGCACGCGTTCGGCTAAATTCCGCATCCTGGGCCGCCAAAACAAATATTAGTCGGTTTTGGGAAGAAGATGAGCCTTAAGCTATGTTCTTCAAGTTCAATGAGTTACATGACTAAAATGCAACGGGGAGTGAATGAATTATAACCTGGCGAGCTTCAACAGCTATGGCAGTTTGTTCATCGGCAAGAATTTGTTTTAGTTCAACCTGCTCGGTAAGAGCACGGATTTCTGAGAGAAGATAGTCACGTTCAGTCTCCAACTCCTTTAAGTCTACCGAGGCTTCTTCAAGGCATCGAGCCATTGTGTCCTCAACCGTCAGGAGCGCAGCTTCTAAAGCTTCAATGGCGGCTCGCTTTCTTCTTAGCTCCTCATTCAAAACTGACGCTTTTCCGAGTAAATCCTGCACATGGCCCTCCAACTCTTCGCTCTTATGGGCAGCCATGTCAGCTGAATTTCTAGTGGACTTTAGTTCTTCTCCTAACATGGTGAGCTCGTTGTTCTTCGAAGCAAGAGCTGACTCAAGATTTGCACGTTGAACTAAAATCTCATCAACCGTTGCATTCTGCACTTCTAGTTCTTTTTGTATAGATTCAATCCGTGTTACCTCCTTCCGAAGAACTTCCATTTCAACCTGAAGCCGCTCAACTTCGGCCTGTGATCTCCCTGCACAAGAAGCCTTTTTCTCGTAAATAGTGAGGTCTGCATCCAATCGCTCCACCAAAGATTTGAGCTCAGCCTTTTCCTCTTGCAGTGTGAGTAGGACTTCCTTTTCAGCTGCAATATGATTCGCGATTGTCCGAGCTTCACTTTCCAGAGCACCTTCTTGCTTCTTTAGAAGCTCGTAGAGTTCAGCAAAAGATGCCGCCTGTCGCTGCATCTCGTCTCTAAGCTGTACGTTATGGCTTTCTAGCTCGCAGATATGCCGATCTCTCTCATCGAGATGCTCATGCAACGATTGCACCTCCTCCATCCAACGATCACCGCTTTTCTGGAAAAGTTCAATTGCAGACTCAAGAGCTTTAGTTTTCATTCCTGCTTCCAGTATCTGCTGCTGTAGCTCTGCATTCTCAACTTCTAGATTGAAAATCATCGTCTTCAGTTGCCCTTGCTCCTCTTTGAGAATCCTCACAGTGTCGTCTTTTTGCTCGCTTATCTTGCAGGAGAATGAACGTCGCAGACTAGTGACACCGTCTACATCTCGTGTCAAGCTCTGTCGCAGGTTACGATCTCGATTCATACTTTGTTTGACATAACTCAACTCATTGACAAGCTTCAATACTATCTTCTCTTTCTCTTGTAGCAGTGCTTGCGTTTCTGTGTGCAGAGTTTGACCGCTCTCTGCTTGTCTTCGGGACTTTTCAACCTCGGTCTGAAGAATACGAATGGTTGATTCCTTTTGAGCCAACACAACACTGGCAGCCTTAATTTGATGCTCCCATGACCGCCGCTCGCTATCTAAACACCTCGCAGACGGTGGCAGCTCATTGGATCCTGAATTATCATAAATGTTCTCTGATATCTCTCTTTTGAGCTTTAGCATCTCGTGTGTCATATCCAGCTTCAGTATATGGGCCTCTGCGACGAGTGCATGCAATTCGCCTTCAGCGAGACCCATGGTCATGTCAACTTGTTCCTTCGTAAGAGCCACCACTTCCAGCATCTCTTGAACCATTTTCTTAAATTCCTCCGTGTGTGCCAACGCCAGTAGCTCTTTTTCCCTCCTCCATCGCTCCTTCGCTTTCTTGTTCGCACTCACCAGCGAGGTGACCATTGAGTCAGCATCCCTGAGAGTGGTCTTCCATTCCTCTAACTTCACCAACATGGCTGCTGCTTGGTTCTTTTTCTCATTTGCTTCCACCTGCGCCTCCTCTCTCTGGGATTCAAGTTCCGCCTTTTCTTCCCTCCATGCTTTCTGGGCTGCATTCATCTGTTCCTCAGATTCGACAAGCAGCGTCGTTAGTCTTTGTAATTCAGCTTCGCAGCTTCGAGTATGGGCGTGCAGTTGAGTAACCTCCAACGAAGTGGCTTCCAGCCGCTTCCGAACATCTTCTTCATTTCGAAGGAAATGCTGCTTCTCTGCAACTATCTTATCTATCTCGATTTCCAAGTTCTTGCGTTCGGCGCGAACAGCGGATAGCTCCATTCGTACACACAAGTAAGCCTGGTCTTGCTCACATATTCTGCTGCGTAATTTAACATTCTCAGTTCTCGTGTTCTCTGCCTCTTGCTTGTCTTTTTGTTTGGTGTTGAATCGTGCGTCAGGTACTGAAACCGATCGGTTCTCATCGAGGTTACGCAGAGGTTGATCCGAACCCCTGCGAATACCTGCATGTTGCTCTAACCTATAAAGCTCCATTCTCAAGTCCTCTTTCTCAGCGATCAAGTTCTGCCTCTCTGTCTCCCAGTCTTTGCCCATAGTTGACACAATTTCGTTCAGCAGTTTAACCTTTTCTGTCAGCAGATTCACCTGTTCCTCTGAACTAGCCAGGGATTCGTGAGTTTCCTTAAGTTCTGCTGGAACATTCTTTAACCCTTCAGCAGGCATGTTCCTTGGATGACTTTCAAGGAACTCCTTGTTCTCTTCCGTCTCAATGAGGCGCCTCAGACCACTGTCACATTCCTTCTGGTAGGACTCAAGTTCCATTTTCACAGATTCCCAGCATGACCGTAGCCTCTCAACCTCAACTTTAAGAAACTTATTCTCAGAAAGCAAACTCTCATTTGAGCAAGTTAAATCCTTGATCAACAGTGTGAGTGTGGCTACTTTGGCCTCCACCTGCCTCCGGTCTACTTCTGTCTCCATTAGCCTCTTCTGCATAGCAGATGATTCTTTCTCTTTTTGTGCAACTATATTGATCTTCTCGTCAGGGTCGTTAGATAGTAACCGTTTTTCATTTTTCATTTCCATGTTTTCTGCTGTCAACCGATCAATACCTTCTTTCAATTCTTCCACCCTATACTCCAATCGCGAAACCAATTCGTCTTCTGGAGGTTTGTACTTGCTCCCCTTCCGTAAGTGTTGTTTGTAGCCACCACCTGACACCTGTTCCTCAAGCTTAGCTAGGGTGTTTTGCAGACTCCTGATTATTTGATTTTTCTCGATGCAGCGAGACTCTGCCTCCCTAGTTGCTGCTAGGAGATCTAACCTCTCTAAGACCCAATCCTCGTACTGCTCCGCCATCTGTTCCTTCAGCCTAATATTCTCGTGTTCCTTCAGTTCAATCTGTAACAGGACGAAATTCGAGTCATTAGACATGCTTGGTATATGGAACCTGAGAACAGCCATTCAATAAGAGAATTTTGGAACAAAGCCTACTAGGTCATGGCCTAGCTCATCCTCACATGAACACTTGTATATGAAGTATCTCTTCCTGCAGAACTAGCATTCGGAAGCACTGAATGACACTGGGAATAGTGACAATCACATCAACCCAAAGATGAAAAGCAACACATGAGTAGTGTACAATAAACGGGCAGAATCAAGGAGTATCCTCATCGGAAGCACCTGATTTTGTAAATCATCAGGAAGTACTTGAACGGCATCAAGATAATGCTTCAACTCCTTCTCAAGTTGAGCCTTCTCATTTTGTACCTCGTTCCCCCGGGCCTCCGCGGCGCGAGTTCGGGCTTGGAGTTTTTTAAGCTCACCTTTCGCGGCGCTTAACTCCTCCTCAATTCGTGTGGGCCGCTGCTCAGCTTCTCTAGCAGCCATTGCCAATGCAGAGTTCTTGAGGTTCCAGTTTTCTTTAACGATTACCAAACTACTTTGTGCTTTGTCAATATCTAACGATATTTGGGTAACCTGCTGTAACCGTTGATCAGCCGACCAAAGTTGTATGTTGAGATCTTCCAATATCTTCGCCGTTCTTCCAACTTGTGTCTCAAACCTTCGGTTCTTTGCAGCCAATCGTATTCTTTCCTCCTCCCAGGCCGCGAGTTCTCTGTGTACTCTGAGCGCCTCTAACTGGATGGCTCGAGACTCTTGCTCTGGTGTTTTCTCACGCTCCAGCTGCAATGAGAAAACCACACCCTGTATTTCTTGTATCTTCGCAACAGCTTCTGTAAGTTCTACTCTCATTCTATCCTCAGCAACACATCGTAAGCTGGCTGTTTCGGATAGCCACCAAACAAGAATAAATGCTATCGTGGATTGTCTCTCGATTTCTCTAAGATATATATCACATGAATCCACCTCTGCTTTCAAAGATATCGAGTCTTTGTGGACTTGAAGTATTGATACCTTGGCATCCTCATCAAGGTCAGACTTACAACACATAGCGCTGTAATCGTTCGAGAACTTGCTTAAAGCGTCTTGAAGCTTGTGTCCAAACGAATTGGTAAGATTTTGGGTATGTTGAAGCTGCTTCGTAATGTCCATAATTGCTGTTTTTTTCGTCAAGACTTTACTCACTATTCGGTCAGTCACCGCATTCTTCCCCACAGACAAAGGTATGTTGAACAAGTCTTGAGATGATTTTAAACACGCAACATCAACTGATAGTTTCCCAGAAGCTAGGTAGTCAATCAACTTGGCGGCAGCATCTTCCCAATCCTGTTGAAGTTCGCATGTCTCAGCATCTTTTTCTCTAAACATTTCAGACAATCTAGCCACATTATCCCTAGTAGCAGTTTCCCTCTCCATTGCACCCGCGACCTCATTTCGCAATTCTGAGAGCTCCAAATGAATTGAAGTGGTACCGAGGGCATCTTTCAATTCAGCTCTCGGCCTTGTGTCCATTTGTTGCTCAAGTGTCCTTTCGGCTCTACAGGATTTCTCACATCGGGATGATGTGCTCAAATTCTTAGATCTCTCCAGCTCCAGTGTTGCATTTTCAAACTCAGCATCAAGAGCGATTATCGGAAGATCGACCCGTGCACCATGCTTGTTCTGTTGTTTCAAGTCCCTTTCAATACTGCGAAGCTCCTGTTCCTTCCTTATTTCCCACTTCAGTTGAGTTAGTTCTTGTTTCATTTTGCTCTCCTTCTCTTCCATCTCCCTCATTTTTTCGAGTAAAACTTTGTGATCATCTCGCAAAGAATCAATCTCAATCTCAGCACGAGTTCGGCAACTTTCGAGAAAGATGACTGCTTCCTTCTCGGTATATAGTTGTGAGATTGTGTCATCCAACTGTTTCTGGAGGCATTCACGAGAAGCTTCCACCTCCTTTAGTAGTTGTTGTTGCTTCTCAAGTGTGATCTCCGCCGATTCCAAGTCCGATCGAAGCTGCAGGATTGTCACAGAATGATGTACTCCCGCAACGTCCTTTTCATTTTTGTCTCGAGTTCCTTCTTCCCACATATAGCTCCTATTGGTCGACTCCGGATCACCATCTAAGGTGTCTAACTCCATTTGTAATTGCAAAATAGCATCATGGTGTCTCACTCTCCTGTTGCCTATCGGGTCATGAGCTTCGGAACTTTCTGCACGATTCAACGTTCTGCATTCTTGCGCCCGATAATCTTCAATCTGTTTTTCTAGACCTCTTCCAGGCACGCGCTCGTCTTCTAATGAAGCCTTCAGACTGATTGTCTCTTGAAGGAGCTCTCTCAGCTGATGCTCAAGCTCGGTTCTCTTTTTCAGTTCTTCCTCCGCTTTCTCCTCACTCTGGTTGACAGGCTCGAGTGTGTAAATATTGATTTATACTCAAATACCGGACTGCCAAGCTCCAGTAAGACATCAACACAAAGACTCAAATCGAAGATGTTACCTTAATAAGTTGAGTCTTGAGCGCAAAAAGGTGTCGCTGATGCTGGGCGTTTTTCAGTTCCAAATGATTCACTTCCAAGGTCTTCATCTACAAACATAATTTTTTCATTCATTCATTTAAAATTTCCAGAATTCAAAACATCATTTCCAAACGTCCCAGTCCGTATCAGAAACAAGAATCTGAACTGTGCTAAGAAAAAGCATACCTGAGAACCTTGGCGTCGATCCGCAGCAACTCTAACTGCAGAATCAATTTCCTATTGACAAAAAATGCTTTGCAGGTCAAGTTCCACTGTAAATTTCAGTAAAAAAGATTTTAGAGTGTAGAAATCCACCGAGCCTTGTTCTTATAGCAAATGTTTTTAGGAAGAAGCGAAGAAACCAACCTGAGAATGAGCAGGAGAATCGAGAGAAAGCTTTATACCCAGCAAGTCCACAAGCTGCAAGTAAAATGAACACTTCATAAGTGAGGAAGGTTTGAGGAATGCATATACAGAGAATCAATCACAAACAGAGACCACGGAAATCTATAATGAGGTTCAGAATTGAATTGAAGAACACTTACTTGATCACGTAAATCTGAGATCTCTTGAGCCATAGCTTCTCGCTCCCCATTGGTATGGAAGTGTTGCAACCTAAAAAGCGCAGTGAAAAACAATGAGAGATGTGCAACATGTTCTATCATGTGAGTCACAACAACCAACAATCGCAAGTCACAGAATTGGTTGAACTCACACACGTCATCTATCAATTACGTACTTGCGAAGTTGCTCTTGAAGGCGCATGTTCTCCATCGCCAGCTTCGTGACCTCGGGATCGCAGCCTCTTCCGTCCCAAGTTAGCGACAATTCTTTCAGAGAAGAAATTGCCTCTTCTCCGAAGCTCACCTCTGTGGTCGCATCACCATCACTTGAAGTCTCCAGCCGTTGTAAATTTTCTTCGTGCAACCGCAGAATCGTCTTGTTACAACATGTTCCTCCGGTACGCTGTTTAACCTGAAAGATAAACGATACTAAAGTCGATATGCAGCCAGACGGGTGCAGCCTTGTGGGTGTTGACCGGCCGGATAAAAACAAGCCACGCACGCTGAAATTTGATTGCGACTTAAATATGGAGATGACAGAAGGTAAAATAATGGATACGCTTCGAGGACACCCAGATCCTTAAAATATATCACCCCTCAGTACAAAATTTGGGAACACATGAGACGCAGTGAGCAGAAGCAGATCACAAAAAATACCATACGAAACAAATGTTCAATTTCAGCAGCTGACTTCTTCGATGCTAATTCTGCCTCCTGCTCTCGTCGAAGAGCACCCGCCAACACGGCCTCCAGGGACTTAACCTGGACACTCGATACCGGCAGTACATGCCACATCATCATTCTGTCTGGGAACCATCTGACTTCACTGAGAGAAACAACAGCAGTCTCTTCAGACGGTGATCATATCAATTCTCATAATCAAGTGAAGATTGCGCTTCGACGTTGTCCACCTTTATATTAAGGAAAGTCGGGCTCTGGAGAGCTCTTCCGAAATGCGCGACGGAACCCTCCATCGAACTATTAAGCTCCTCTGATTTGGGTGGGCTTCCTTCATATATAGCTTCTTCCCGTAGACCACCAGATGCCCGTATAGTTGGTATCCGTGATATGCTCTGTCTCCGCAGGCGTGCCAGCTCATCCTTCATAAGAGATCGTTATTGTCAGAAATTTTCCCATTATCAGGAGTTGTATATATTGAGAGGTAATGAGAGAATGTGATAACAAAGCAGTTGGTAGTGAGGAAAGACAATAGCAATTTCATATTTGACAAGAGGTGTCCTCAGTGCATGCAGAACAAAGTCCGTACTACATGTGTGATTGTAAAAACCAAGAAACGTCACGCACCTTTAATTGTTGTATCTGTTGACGCAAGGCATTCACATCTCCAGCTGTGTCTTCATTGATCACAGCCTGAACACACCAGTGTTTGGATTGAACTCCTCGAATTCCCGAGATCAAAGAAATGAAGTTGAACCAAGAATGCTAGAAAAGCTCATAAGATTTGAGGAAATTATACATTATTCTGAATGAACTTGGCGCGCTGTGCAAACTTGAGTGAGCTCAAAGTCTCCAGAGAAGCACTGCACACAATAAGAAGCAGTTTAAATTAGAAAAAGTTGCCCCTCTGCGAGTGGTGCGATACATGAATTGGGTAAAATAACGGTAAGTAGACCTCCTTGACGGAGAGAGGAGCAACAGGTGAGCACCAGCTCGACGGACTGATATTAGCTATGATCGTTGTCTTGGAGTTTCCACCGAGCGAATCCTGCAACCGAAAAACTACAAATGTTTACACAGCGTTCATCTCATGCAATCGCTTAAATTTTTAGGCAAACTCCACCCCTATTGAACATGTTCTGATATTCTTAGTTGGATATTTATGAAAAACTAAGTGCATACTCCCATCAAGCCGCATGAAATGGAATCAGTTAGCGGACCATGCTGAGGGAATCCTGAGCATACCTGGAGGAGAAAAGTCAGTTTTGAATCACGGTATGGAACATGTCTCTGTTTACCATTAGCGGTGTCCACCAGCACCATTATGACAAGCCTGCAGATCAATAAAAAATATCAGTAACCCCGAATCTCAGTCAATTATCAAGAAGAAATTCTGGTGTGAACGCCACCAACCAGTCGTCGAACTCTCTTACCCAAGAGTTGAAAGTGATTTGTTGATACAAGCTGCCTCCTTCAATCGTTCCCCTTCAGCTCCAGAAGCCCTTTGTCTGACGATTTCAAAGTCATCCAAGTCAGCGACCCACTAAAGAACTAGAATCAAGTGCGAAGTGACAACAACTTAGCGGGAATTTAAACTACCTTTCTGAACCTGCAAGGTCGATAAGGTTAAGACGTCCAAAACGGAAATTGATCATATGGTCGCTCTCCCACTGCAATCACCAAAAGATAAGATAGATTAAAACCAAATCTTTCACTGGAAATTTTCAGTGCACGAATCGGGTATGAATGTGGCGTGTTCCAAGTAGAAAACAAACGTGAGAAAATACACAAACCTGGCTCTCGATGATACAGCTGAAGACACTGTGCGAGCGACTGCTTTCCTTGTTCATGTTTGTAGCCGCTACTCTTCTGTTGGCAGCACCCTGAAGAACGAGTGAGGAGGAATGACCTCTATTGTCAGCATTTTTTTTTTTTTCTTTTTCATTTTATTTTATTTTATTTTATTTTCCATTTTGAGATTGCTTGCCAATGGAGAGTCTACACTATAGGGAATACTTGGTAGCACAACATGTGATATGTGCGTTATGAATATGAAATTAGCTTCGGAGAGTCCAAAAGCGCTTCAAGCACTATCATTAACAATGATAGTGAAGGATAGTGAATGATAGCACTATCATTCACAAAGCACATGCATGGTGTTGAAAGTGGTTATTCGATACGAGACTCTGGAATTTTACATCATTCAATGATACTGACAATTATCACATTAATTGAATGAAAGCTCCGGAAATGGATACAACAAAGAATGCTCAGGATGAAAGTACTAAAGGTGGGTAGAAAGAGCTACAGGCGTTTCAGACTTACCAACAGGAGAAGGTGAAGAACGTCTTGGACACTCTGAACTTCAACTTCTACGAGGCCCTCCACGTACACTCCCTTGTTAGCATCCTCTCGCATCTGTTGAAGCACAAATCAAGGTGTTAAGCAACGACCACAAAACTTCAAAATTCAAAACACGAAAGTATAAATCATGAAAACGATCAAATATTTCCACTTTATTATGAATAAATGTCAGAGTAAGGACCTGTAAGTTCGTAGAGGATGGCTCCAGAAGGTCCCCAATCTGCTCGTTGTAAATCTCCAGGAAAGAACACCTACATGTGAATTTCAGATTCTCGTGCTTTTGAAGCTCTTCAGCCTGTCAGAAACCAAAAGGAGCTTCCTTACAACGACATGGATGTGAAATCTATCCGCCTAGTCGACTCTGTTGTTGAAAATTCGCAGCGAGCCCTCTTTTGAACACTTGACCTGATCACTTTAATGAGTTTAAATGCCACTTCTGATGTGAGCTGAAAAGCTGCACTCTTGGACACCGTGAATTCTAGACATTCCTGAAGGGTTGAACGAGCTGGGATAAAGTACGAAGCACAATAGGAGTAGAAACAGGTGGCATACCTCTCTTATCTTTGCGAACAGGGACTCAAACACGCGCGGAGTCATGCCTCGGTTGTCACTGGGTTGGCTATCAAGATCTGAAATGTCCCCAAGCATGGTATGAGTCTTACCACTCCCTGTCTGCTTACAATTCCACATTTCACTGACATTGATTAGTTTCCATCAAATCCTCATCGATCCAGCTGCATTCGGGGAGAAAATGCCATAAAAAAATGCGTTCACACAAGAAAATTTCTGACATACACATGAGTTCAAGTTCTGCTTGTCCGAAAGAGAACGCCTTAAGCTATATCCCAGAGGGCTTGCTTACCTGGCCGTATGCAAACATACAACTGTTGTACCCAGCCATACAATTTTCAACCATCGGCAGTCCAGCAACTCTGAAGAGCTCCTCCTGCACAGCACACCAGCACACAAATTTTAGTCAATTTTAAATAATACGTCATAATAGTTGCAGTGACAATGTAGGTTTCGTCGAGCGGCAAATACATGCACAAATCACTTCCAATGACTCGGATGCCAATTGCTCTGTGCGACAAGAGCCGATGAGAAAAGGGCGTCGAAGTGTGCGTACTTGAGATATGGACTCGCCAGCCACATGGTCAAACGTGAATCTCGACTCTGGTTGCCCAAGCCAGGTGATGGAGTGAGCACTTTCCTGTCTCACGCATCTGCTGTGTCCCTGTTGCGACGCTTCGGAGTCATTTATTGGCCGTGTCCGAATTAAAACCTTCACAGCCAGTACCCAGTACGCTCGATTAAAATTCCACAATCAAGGCATCAGTGTGACAAGGGTATTACAAGCTTCCTTACGAATTGTTCGTTTAAAAAAAGAAAGAAAAGAAAGAAAAAGAAAACCCTTGAGACCCGCCGCTTGTTGACGAACATCCAGAGCAGAATTCTCACCATCTCGCGAAAATCTTGTCTGAGAAACTTAATTCACACAGTGCCCAAATTCCATTCGTGTAAGCCTACTCCTGCTGGTTCCATAAGTCACTAGCAACGCTACCTGACGACAAAACTACTCATCTAAAAGGATACAGAATGCTCCATGGTTTCAAAGATGTAAACGTTGGTGAGATGAAAAACAGGACCCCAGGGAAATCTAAGTTCACAGCTGACCTGAACATTATGATCCTGCCAGAATGTTGGATCCTCCTCCAACTCGAAATGGGTTTCCGCCGCGATCGTAGCTGCCTGTTGGTTTTGAAATAGCGCCTTTACACGATTTCCAGCCGCTCCTGAGGCCCTAGTGCTCGACAAACCCGCCAATCCTTTCGAGGACGAAGAACGGCCTCCAAAACGCAGCGATCGGCTTGCGCTACGAGGTGTAGCAGCCGACGTAACTGATCCTAGAGAGGTTGTGCTGCTGTAAAGCTCAAAGTTTCGTGTCTTTCTTGATCCTTGCGGGGTCGATGGCATGCTGTCACCTCCCCCCTTGTGTGATAGTTGGCCCAATTTGACACTACCGCTGATACCAGAGAATGATGCGGATTGCTGCAAACTTTTGATCGCCGAGGCACTAACGCGGGAGGTATCGAATTGGTCGCGGGTAAGTGAGGGCGATGTCCTGCATTGGAACTCCCTTTGATTATCTGGTGATGGCCGCGACTGCAAAGTGAGCTTCGTTTTTCGCTTCGCAGCTCGAACTGGAGTACCAGCATTCGGCTGCTCGCTCCTTGGAGAACTCGGGACGGGATTTCCAGCAGCCATTGCGAGCGCAGGATGTCTCTTCTTCCCCCCGCGAATCGTCCTGGGAGGCGATAAATTAAAACTGCTGAAATGACCTCCATCAGTCCCAGATACAGATTTCAATGGCGAGAGATCCCCACCACCTCCGGTATCTCTTCGCGTCGTCACAAATGCAAGCTGTGGAGTCGACGCACGAGTCGACTCAGCTTCATCCTCACCCCTTAGGCTGAGATCGTCCGCTTCGGATTCTTCATATGCCAGCTTCTTGGGCGACGGCAGATCCGAAAACATCCGAGGCTGATACATTCCTTCTCTGACCCTCCACCCTCCTCCCTCTCTAGGCCTCTCGTCTCTCCGTCTTTGTCCCGTGCTCTTCTACTCTCCTCCAGCTCACCATCACTGTGAATCCTCTCCTCAAACTAAAGTCTGTTCTCCCACACCTTCCACCAATCACCTCTCACCTCATACCCCACGCACGCATCACTTCATCAATCCTAATCTCACACACTGTCCCAACGCGACATCACCGAAGTAAGTCATTCACTGCGTGCGCCTGACACAACCAGCACAACCAAGTCTAAAATCGAGGTTCGCAATCACGGCACAGTTGGCCAGCTTCTTGCCTGCGGAACATCAAACAAATTTTTCCGTCTTCTTCCTCTTCTGCTGCACCAAGCTTCCCTGGGTTTTCTTTCGTCACGCCAGATCGATCATGCACGGAACCCCGTGCAAAACTATTTTCTGACTATTGTTCCCTTATGCCCAAAAATACATTCATCCGAATCATCTCTCCTCTATAGCGTGCATCCTGGCCGACAAATGGCGAGTCAACTGGCCTTGAACCTCCACAATTAGTAAAACCATCTGAGACTGAGCCTGGATGAACGGATCAAGAATATATTGCTCCGTTGGTTTTGGGGATCATCGGTGCGTCCCTGAGCTGTGGCCTCTCTGTCGTGGGACCTGTTGTTGCAACGGTAACCAATTCAGGGGACCACCATGCTCTGTGGGAACTCTTTTTCTTTCCATTGGGGTTTTTACAGCAGCTTGTAGTGGTTCCTGTCACAGACCTCAGTCGGATTTACCATCGCAGTGGTCAATGAGGTCGGAAATTAGCGGCAGCACAACCCTGCCTCGCTTTTGGAACGTCATCCCTCGTCAGTTTTGTGGCAACCAGGTTATCCTCTGGATTTTGACTCTGCATGGAGTTTTCTGCCTCGCTTGTTTTCGAGGGAGGTGCGAATTCGTTATTATGAACTTGAATTAAATGCCACAGCAAGTTTGGCATGACGCAATCATCAGCCACGGTATCTTCTCGTGCGAAGAACCTCAACTGGAAGCAGAAGGCTGCCAGTTGCTTAGGGGAACACAGGGTCTTGGCTGGTTCTGTCTAAAACTCATTCCGGTGCCTGCTAGGGACATACTCTGAGTAGAAGCGCAATCAGTGGCGGGACATGAGAAAAGAAATGATGGTCAGCATGACCCGAAACGTGCGCAAATTCAAATTTTATGGGGCACTTGATATAGCATAATGCCGATTGAGAAGGAGAATGTTCAGATCTGTAGCAATATGGCATCTCGACCTCATTTGGAAATAATAAAATAATACGATGCTATGCATCTAGTTCTTATGAACAGGTGGACCAGTTGAGCTCTTCAAAGCACCACCAACCAAACTTAAATAAAATACATTAAAAATCATTAGGACGCATGACAATGAATTGTTTCCTCTCGGATTTTCAGCAACATCCATAGGCGATGAAAGATCAGATTGACAATGTGTTGATTATCTGAAGGCTTCAAAAACTCCCAGATCCGAAATTCTCATCCTATGATTTGCGAATGATGCATGGAACTGTTTCAACACAATGCTGGCTCAATAATTTTCCTAAAACAAATCACATTGTGGAAAAGAAGATACGAGGGTTCCACTCCGGAATTGGGGTTGGTTCCACTACACCCACGCATCGAATTAGGCACTTAGTACCAACCTAGATTTTACGGCAGTAATCCAGTTTTGTAACAAATTAAAGACAGCTACCGAGAGCTTCACCTGGACTCAGCCTAGTGATAGTTCCGCACTTGTTTCTTTCTTCTTCTTCTTCTTCTTGTTTTTTTTTTTTTTCCCCAACTGAATGAGGTGAATCTATTAGGTTCAAACTGGATATTAATACTGAAAGGATTCTTGTAGACCTGACCACGACTTGACGCAGACTATTGCTTACAAGAGTCATTAACTTCTTGAGCAGTTACTTGCGATTTAGAGGAGCGTTTCGAAGCCAAGGATACCCGGTAATTACCAGCCTCCTTCACCATTTCGTCGATTCTTCTCTCCAACTGTTCAAGCTGAGATCCTGTTTCACTGATCTGGGCAAGTATGGAGTCCGATGAGGTTAAAAACTTCGAGTGCAGAGACTCCAGCTGGTGCTGCAAGCTCTCAGTGATGCCTGCAGTCATATGGTGCGCAATATCCACCGCTTCGTCCCGACAGTGATGCCACTCCGGGGCCTCGCGCTCTCGCTTGGGACTTCTCGACTCTGGATCCATGAGGTAGCAAGCGTAACTCAAACAACAAACCAAACCCTCGGACGGTTCCTATCAATCACATTCTTGTCAGTTCTAATTACAAAAAGCAATTGGCAGTTGTTCCAACATCACAACATGTATGTACAACAAGATGCGATTGAAGAAACAGTCCTAATCTGCTCTCAAGCTTCTCTCAAGCAAAAACTCAGTTCCATCATCGAAATCATGCGACATCTCAAAACAAGCCTCATTATGGAGCAGTAACAAAGCTCGACGACGACGAGGATACTAAATGGCCCCACAGCAAGAACTCATGGCTGAGTCTCCAAGAAAACAGACTGTGAATGTGAGACCGTTCACCGTGGGGTGCCTTATCATCGTGGATGTAACAACCGCGGGGTGGGTATAACAGTTTTTTAAAAATAAATAAAACTGGATAAATATAGATAAATACTAAATTATCACTTTACTTTATGAGAATATCATTTTGCAATACTGAAGTCAACCTTCTTATATGCACGTATAAATTATGTAATCTAAATTAAAAGGCTATTGCAATTATTAAGTAAAGATCAAACTACATATTGAATAAAAATAAATATGATGATGTTTATTGATCATCCCTACACATCTTTAAGCAACTATTCATTAGCAATGCTCATTCAAGAACAGTGTCTGTGAGTCAATGGAGGATACTAACTATTTTAATGGATTCTTTATTGTTTTTGAATGTATATAAAAACTAAAGCCTATTGTGTTTGTTGCTTTTGCCTTTGTTGGTGTATTTCTACAACAACCAAAAAAATGTTCAATTATTCACTAAGGTAATTTAATTTAATTTTTATATTTCTGATGTTTGAATGTAACATTTCAAAGATCCAAGGTTGTTTAATTCTTCTAGAAGTATAGTTTTTATTTAATCTTCTTCTTTGATATTTTAAATCCTGTAAAATTATCAATTTAAAGTCATATAAGAAAGTAACAAAGATGAAATATTGCTTAGATGTGCTTGATAAGTTTTTTTTTTTTTTTAATATATTTATAAAAAACTCTTTTTGGTAGATATAAAGGTGTTATTATTCACTATTTAACAAATATTACATCACTATTTTGTGTTTATTTTGCCAAGATGTGCATATAATGCCCACAAGATTATTTATTTAATTAATTTTTTTAATGACTTTAAAAAAATTGCATTCAATATTTATCTTTATGGATAATATTACTAACATAATGCATTGTGAATGTAGAATTTTATATTATTTATATAAATGTATATAACATGACAAGATATAATATTTTTTAGTAAGATGTTTTATGTTAGTAATACAATACAAGATATTTTTCTTAAAAATCTAATTATCAATGCAAATCCTAAGAATAAATATATTTTAAGTTATGTTACTAAATTCTATAATAACTAATAAAATTTTATATCCTCATAAGCAAAAAATATTTATTGTTGGTTACAAAGTAATAAATCTATATAGATAAGGTATTTTTTGTTAATATTATATTACATATTTATTGCATTAAATTAGAATGTAGTAAAAAAATTTACATATTTAATATTTAAATTTATTTTATTCCATTCTAAAGATCGATTAATTAAATGTATCAAATACTTGTATTTAATAAAAAAAAAATAATAAATAGAATGTCATTATTTAAATACAAATTATGATAAAAGTTTGATAAAATAATAAATAGTATGTCATTATTTCACTATTTTATCAAACTTCACAACAATAAAACATCTCTCATTGTTATGAGGCAATTTGCCCCAATCCACCACTAAATCATCACCAAGTCCCCTTACCAAAAGCAATACATTGTGCAATGCAACTACCAATCATATATCCTTCACTTGCTATTGCATTATTGTATTCCATGAAGTTTGCTTAAAAATACACTTTGCATCTAGGTATGAAAGAAAAAATATAATTTTCAACAAAAACGTCCTAATAATATCAATAGAATCCTAAATAAACTTTAATTAAATCTTTAAAATGTTAATCCATCTTTAACAAATCCAAAAGAAGTCTTAAAGAAATTATAAAATAAACATAATTTTTTTTATAAATAACCTTAAATAAATATATATAATAAAAAAATCTTTAAAAAATATCAAAGAAATCTTTAAAAAATATTTAAAAAAGAAAATTTAAATTAACTTTAATTAAATTCTAATGTAACCATCGATAAACTTTAGCACATCTCTTTCTTTGAAAAATCCTTAAAAATTCAATATGTCTCTAAATTACATGAAATCTACTCTAAAAAAAACCTTTCATTACTTTGTTTTCAAATCTTACTCTTTGATCAATCAAAGAACCATGAAATTGCCATAGATACATGGTTTTATGCCTTGGGATTTGATTTTAATCTTGATTTACAATTGGTCCTCTCTGGGTATCAATTCTTGATATTTAGGGATAAATTTTGATAAAAAACTATTCTTAACTCCCTTCTAAAGATGCCTATATGATTCATTTTCTTTATATACTTTGTTTTTCTTTATTTATGGCCTTAAAAAGTAAATAGAAGCCTCTTTTATAAGAAGGCAATATTAATATTTATTAATTTTTACTACCTCCTTGTCTATTATCTATATTTTTAAGATAATTTGATAAAATATTTTTATTTAAGCTCCTTTTCATTTGATGGCCATATTACAATACAATAGTGTATGTTTCTTTTGTCACACTACTAGGTTGTGCACTAGACCTTGGCTCATCTCCATTTGCATTTTCATCAGCACAATCAAAGATCAAAGTTAGACATTCACCTTGTAAAATTCAATGCCTACAGTCCATCCTTCCTTACAGCTTGCTCCTTATGCCTTGTTGGAAAGCGGTTGTGATCCAATCTGACTTAAATATAGGGCAACCTACTTAATCAAAAATTATCTTAAATACACCTCCAATAAGGTCTTTGAAATATATTTTATTATGATCTTGTATAAACTCACAATAATTTGTAACCATTTCAATTTATAGTACAAAAGTTAGAATTGAAAAAAATATTAAAAACAGTATGGTACTTTGGATTTTGAGACAATACAAATTGTACCTTCATGGCTTTCTTATTTGATAATAAAAGACACCACACATATGCAAGGGATACAAACAAATACCAAAAATTCAGGAGATC